TTTCAATTGTATAAAATCAAATTAAACGAACTAAATTATTCATGATGTAGCATAAAGTAAATATTAAAGAGTTATTGAATTTTAAAATTAACTTTCTAAAAAAGGCGTGAACAAATATTCCATGGAAAAAGAACGTCGTGTGTATAAATGGTGATTGTAAATGCAATGACATTTTCCTTTCTCAAAAAAAAAAAAAAAAAAAAAAAAACTCAAATCACCGTATTAATTACTGTGGCGCGATAAGACACGATGAATTATCGAAGAATTTTAAGAATTATCAAAGTTCAATGAGAACTCGTTTAACATTTTTTTTCTATAAAGCGTTCGTTGTGAATTGTGAGTCATTGGCCGCAGTCCTGGCAACAACATCTGCTGATAGGGCACTTTTTGAAAATTGTCCATTTCCTCCGATGGCTCAGGAATATACTTTTGCATGAATTTTCTACTTCGATCATTAAGTTTAATGGTTCACTTTCTGAATCTCTAGTTTTGTAACACTTACTTTTCTTCTTTTTTTTTTTTTTATTAGTAGAAGATATTTAATTGATCGCGTTTAATTAATAAGCTCAAATAAGTTCAAATTTCATCGAGCGAGAAGAGATCGAAAAAAAAAAGAGAAAATGAGCAGAGGCTTAACAAAGCATGGGAAGGAAATCTGCAAAAAAGTTTTGGAGACGTGGATAGGAAAAAGAAAGGAAATTTCTGACGAGCATAACTACTCTGAGCAGTACCTTGATGTTTCCTTTTAGGATGTTCTGCCCGGTCAGTCGAGAGCTTCTTTCGTCCAGAGAAATGGTTGTCGGCAGCGTGTTAAAAAGCAAAAGAAGAGAGGCAGTTTTCTCGATGCTTATTCGCCGAACATGTGCGACACACTTCACGACGTACTTCCGTTCTTTATCTTTGGCTTTCTTCTTTCACCCGTTTGCAAACCTGGAACCTTGCAAAGATCACGCGCGTGTTAAATACTTGACATTTAAAATGAACATTTGAAAAGAATAACAGAGATACAATCACAAAATTTCATATACTCGATGAAAAGTCGTCGATATTTTAAATTGTAATTGTAATCTCGTGGAAAAAAAAAAACAAATCATACCGCAGTGTTCACTTATTGTTAGCCTCATTTTGAAAAAAAAAGTGAAACCCCCATTTTGATAATTTTGAGTTCGTTTTCTTCTCAAAAGTATTTTTACATTGTGCAGCAGGAAAACAAGGATACTTTTCCCCTCGAAAATTGTAAAAATTCAAATAACCTCTAAAATCGTGGAGAAAATTTTCTTCACAACTAAATCTACCACTGTAAAGAGAAGATTCTTTTCCTCCGCTGCATTTTGAATATTGCATATTGGATATTGCACGGTTAATGCACGTTCGATCTTTTAACTTTAATGTTTAAAGTTTAATAAAAGTAAATTTTGCAGACTTGCTGCAAAAATGAAATTTTTCAATCTTCAAGACCATCGGTGGATTCAGCCAGAAAGAAATAATATTCTTCCATTTTTGCAGTTTTCGAAGAGAAAAGTATTCTTATGACACTTTCTCAGCTAAAAAAAAAAAAAAAAAAA